TGTCTAAACTCTAAGTCATACACACAGACTGGACAATACCTCCATATAAAATACCGGATGATGACAAATAAAAGTTATTTGAATAACAAGAATTGAAACTTAGAGAAAACTAACCTGAAAATTACGCAGTTTCATTTCCAATGTAAAACAATGGTGAAAACCATTGACTTACAAATAAATGGACGACGGGTCTAATACAAAAACCACGAAAAAAATGTCCCAAGTCAACCTATTTAAACGTAGTGACATGTAAAGGAATATGAAAAAGCTAAAACGTTGAATTTAAATTGTAATGTCATCGCAGTACTGTCTAATTTTGCTTGCTTCGCTGTCAGTCGAACAAACGAAGACTAAAGCGTGAATGGCGCTCTGTATACGATTTTAACGCCCTATAAGTTCGGACACTTTTTAGCGCGGACCCGACGTCCATATAATTGTAAGTCAATGGTGAAAACCTAAAAATTCGATCTCAAAACTGTCGACCAAAATATAATGTAATAATTTCGCAATTTCAGTGGCAGCTTCTCCCACACATCTATCACTTCCTTGAAATTTTGATAAATATACACAAGTCACATTCATTGTGATTCTTGCTTTATAACCGCATCCTGAGCGCGTTGTCCGCACGCTAGGACTCGCCGATGCTCGCGCATTGGATGCGACTACATGCAGTCGTATAGAAAATAAATGTTGTTTTGTTTTTGTGTCGCTGTACAATTAACTAACCCTTAGACCTAAGCATTTTGTAATTTGCTAACAAATTATGGACCAGTTCCGAAATAAATTATTATTATATTATTATATTTCAAGCCGTATGTGGTTCTTCTTAGACTGGATGATTAAACACGATGGCCCGCCAGGTGTATACATTGTATACACCAGCACGCCTTATCTTTAAATGGCCGTTGCGTTGTTCAGTTACTCCAATCAATCTACGAGGACCCACATGCGCACAACGCTCATTTGATAAGCACGGTTCCTGTACTAGAGACGACTGCGGTTCACTAGTGCATGGTGTGAAACGTTCTATCTTATGTGCCATACATTAAGGACCCGTTTATACAGTCGAGCTTCACTTCGAATAAACTTGCGCAAGCCTAGTACGTTGTGTAAGAAAAAGCGTCATAAGTTTTTTTTAAGGCGAGTTATTGGAGAAGCGTGAACTATTTTGCTAAATCAAATTGTTTATGTGTTTACTATCAAATAACACCTAATGAACTTGTCTAAAGAACGTGCTAATTCGTTACACGATAGAATCTACTTTCCTCTATCATAAAAAATCCTGAAAACATGCTAAAATAAATATCTAAGACGAATTGTTTAAGAATAAAATATATAACTTTGCACATAATTTGGATATGGAGATATTTCTTTTTAAATTTAACTGCCTGCGTGGCCGAACGGATACCATGCTGGACTACCGCGCTGAGGTCCTGAGTTCGATTCCTAGGCCGGGAGAAATATGTGTATGGCCTACATTTATTTCTCTCGTGAGTTTGGGTGTAATTTGTGGTTGTCTAAGTGTGGTCCATGGCACCCGCGACACAGGTTTTTCCCTAGTGCGGGGCTATGAGTGTGTTGCATTATTATTATTATTATTAAATACTACAGAGAACCTGCTAAATTTTGGTTTTATCTGAAGCCCTATAGTTATTAAATTCCAGCGGTTTAACGACATGCCGCTATCAGATAGGATCGGGCCTGTGTCAAATTTTCTCTCCCTGATCTTATTTTATTCAGGTTTATTTTAAGCGCGCAGTTTGCGGGATGTACGAAGCGCCCCCCCCAGACCTCACCTCGTAAAATCGCACCTCGCGTTCAAACACGTCGCCTTAATAAGCTCACGTTTCCTTTGCCTCACCAAAAAAAAAACCTAAAAGTCTAGAGAGATCGAATTCAGTTATAAAGCGAACTTTAGCATCGAATAAATGTGTCAAAGAAAGTGCCAGATACTGGGCTTATTTAAGCTTATTTATACAGGTCCAGTATACTTGGATGACAAAAATCTATAGTAGTGTCCGGTTTAGCTCTTAAAGGTTATTTCTATCTATGATATTGTGAACAAATGTATTATAAACGTGGCTTGCTCAAGTTTACTGGGTGTTTAGTAAACGGTTCTTCTTCTGAGTGTGTCAAAACAATCTTGTGGCTGCCGACATGTTTATTATCTACTTATTAATACGTGTAATGTAAGCTCTTAAAAATAAGTTACATAATCTGTGTGTCGTGGTTTAAAACTCATGTATTTTCTTGTGATGTTTTCTGATCAACAATGATGTCCATTCTATTGACTGAGATGAGTATGAAACTGTTCAAAGGTTTGTACAAATCTAATATGAAAACAATTGAAGAAAAGATCCGTTTCACTCATTATGCTTTTTTATACAATTTAAACTGTGTTCTACAGTATTTTAATTTTAGGGTTCCGTTTGCATTAAAGGGAATGATATTCAAAAGGATGATGCATTTTAGTTTACAATTTATTACCCGCATAAACCAGTTGACTGCCGTAAAGTTCTGCAACAATATATCCAGGACAGCACGTCTTTTAGATATATCCTACAATCAAAATTACTTAATTAGACAAATTTTTCTTTCCTCGCAATCCAGAGCCAGCCTAGAATAGCATCCAGTGAGCATCTGTTACAAATAATAGTACAAGAAATATTTCAAATGAGACTATGGCTCGGCTACAGGATCGCGAAGTACATTGCCCTCGCTGTCACTTCTGACATAATGGTAAACTGTGTAAAAACTGTAATGAATTCTTAGGTTTTCGCGATTGTTACACATATGAAATGAAACTATTTTTCCGGATTTAAATCGCGTATATTTGTTTTTTCAAACAATCCGACGTTTCGGGCCCTTTACAGGTCCCGTAAAGACCTGGTAACCTGGTAACCTGGTGACCTGGTAACTGTAAAGAACCTTAATAAACATTTTCATTTCAAAGTCGATACGATTGAGGAGGTAGGTCCGTATATTTACCTCGCAATGGAATGGACATCATAGCACTAGCTATATTTAGAATCATAAGTATCAAATACTTGTCCTTAATATAAATGTTTTAATTAAAATATTCATACTCTGTGTACAATTGTTTTATTTACATATTAATACATAACATAGAATATTTCTAGTTGGTACACTGTCAAAAAGCACGTTAACATTTAAGATTTAAAGTCTACCCTACGACGCGTACGATAGAGATATATAGAGCCGAACATAACTGTACACAAAGTTATGCAAGTTTAATCTAGGCATTGCTAAAAACATACTTATGTAGTTCGTTACCAGTGAAGGGGTGAAGGTAGGGAATAGGTAAATACCATTGTCCTTTTTTTCCATGATAATAATTTTACAGAGAAATGTTACGATTGTTTTTACTTTCCCGACGTTTCGGAACTGTTGAATGGTCCGCTGCAGCTGACAGCTTTAAGAATAGACATATTTGGCTATCCTGTTTCGCTGTCGACGACTACCTTCATCTCAATTACTTGTGAGGCGTTACCATTGTCAATATTTTTTTTTTACACGTAAAATGGAAGTGGAACCATTTTTGTTTTTATTATTGTTGTTATAAGCACTATGGATCAGATTCTATGCATTACGTGGAATCCGGCTGTTAAAGCTGTCAGTCAACCCGCAACCACATGCCCGTTCAGAGATATATCATACATGCTATATCTATATGATGATACATACAGTTGCCCCACTTCAGGTCGTCACTATTGTAAAAAACTTCAAAAGTACCTTACAGTACAGTTGGGCTTAATTTACATCGCTGCTGAAGGGAATGGAAGCAAGTTTTTGCTTCTTCCTTTACCTTCCGTGTAATTTACAAACTAGATACGAGCCAATAAGCAGGTCGCGCGTTTTCCAGAGATTTCTCGCTCAAAATCGAGAATTCCCGTAGGTAGGTTTCTTCGTTATGGTGGCACTTCACATGGTTGTTTATATTCGTTATTGGGTATTTGATGTACTTGGAAAAATATTTGACATACACGCCAATATGCAGACACTGACAAACATGACCGTCTACATGTGGAGCTAAATAAGAAGTACAAAAATACAAATAGTCATGTGCCACCATTACACTCTTGTCTTTTTTCCATAATAATTAACTAACAGCACGAACAAGTCGTGCACCTAATGGTAAACGACGCGCCTGTCCATAACAGTTGCAGTACTAAGTCACTGCGTCCGACACCCTGACACAAGTTGACAAGTCCCATATGCCTGTAATTTCACCAGCACCCGTACCCTTCAAAACCTGAACTCAGTAATGCTACTACTTATACTCTGTATATACATTATATACTAGTAATGCACTACTGCTTGGTGGCAGAAGTGGGTAGTAAGGTGTCAGTACTTCCTTTGACGAACTCTTACACAAGGAGCTGGCTCTACTGCTACTAAATGACATAAAATTGCAATGCCTTGTACGATTCGTTACTAAAATTGAGGTACCTAGTCATGTTTTATGATCCAATGAAAATCAAACAATCCCATGACAATTTGTTTACGCACTCTATTAGTCAACCTGTGTCCCATCCTCAATAATAAAATGGCGTAATTCGAAAAATAACAAAACATATTTAAATAAATTTTCTCTCTAAATGAAATTAATATGTCATTTTCCATATCAAATGTGGTTTGTAATATTTAGCACATGTGAAATGATATTTTTAGCTGGTGCCACTGACCTTCTTTATTTTTAATCAATTTTGTCAGCATCCCAAAAACTATTTTAGAATTATTTATTTAGATATAACATCGGTACAAACATAGAGAAACTTACATTGTATATTGTGCCGTTACAGGTGTATGTAGATTTTTTAAATTAGAAAATAAACATAAAAATTGTAATATACAGATGATATATGTACCTAACTACCATTTAAAAGGTTGTTGTTGAACAAAACTCTAAAGACTCAACCGAGCAGTTGCCACGTTCCGCTTGAATTTATTACGTAACTTTGACCTGACTTTTTTGAAGATTGAGTAAAATGACGTTTGCAGGGTTGCCAGTTATCATAAAATTTTAAATAGTCGCGTAGTTGTTGTCGACAGTTTTATCGATAAGTTGTGAAAGAATGGCAAATTTTTCCAATAATGTCTAAATTGTGTATATTAAGATGTTCTATTATGTTATTACTAATTGTGTTATTGCCTTATTTAGTTTTATTTTCACAGTTGGCCTATTAGTATAGAAATCAATTTTCATTCATAAGTACACATTTTAAAAAGTACAGGTGGATTCTATATTATATGAAAATGAAAAACTGTAAAATACATCTCTTTGTATTTTTAATAGACACAATTCTTATGTAGTTATAAAGGCAGTGTATGTATCTATGTAAGTATTTACAAAAATTGACGATTGAAATCAATTCAAATGAACCTGTGCCCAACAGTGGGACGAATAATGGGCCAATGATGATTCAAATGAAGCACGGTCGGTTATTTGTTGCATAATCATACCAAAATTCAGTATAAGAAAAAAGACAGATTATAGGGTTCTACACAGAGATAAACATATACGATTTAAAAAATAAACCAACCTATGCCTCATTTGTTGACAATAAACTCCAGAAACATAACATCGTTCTTTATGTACTCGAACTTATCCAAGCTCGTGTGCGGGATGAAGATGTACTGTCGCTTAAGTTGCAGAAGTGACTTGTCCAGCTGTTCATTGGACCGCGTCTTGTTGTCGCCCACTTCGTCGTAATCGTGACGCTTCGATGAAGATTTGCGTCGAATTTGCAGTGACTTTACTATATCCATTGCCTGTAGATAACACATTTAACATTACGTGCTAAATAACCACACCAAATTACCTATTGTCAAACTAAAAACAGCCGGCACATGAGACTTGTTAACTTGATGTCTCAGAGTGACGACAGTGTGTGCTTTGGTGAGTGGTAGTGCCCCTCAAGTCTTTAGAATTGTAAGATCTGAGTGGCACTGCAACGGGCGTGTCGTTTTCCATCAGGCGCACGCATCCAAATTGGTCCTACTGAAACTCAAACCCGGGACCTACTCATCTGGCGCCCACAGTGATACCATTGAGCAACCAAGGTCATCAGTGTTGAATTAGCTTAAGCCCCATCTGGTCGTAAATGGCTGCAGTTACGTCGACAGTTGGAAAATAAAATGCAGTCGCACTGACTATTGTAGTTTTTTTCGCTATAAATCTTGTGACTTTAAAAAATAATAAGTAAGTATAGGAAATGAAACTATTTTTCCGGATTTAAATCGCGTATATTTGTTTTTTCAAACAAACCGACGTTTCGGGCCCTTTACAAGTCCCATGGTCACGGTTGACTGAGGTGGTACAGTCTTCAACCAGTTATGTCTAATATTGATGCAAACCACCCTATTTTTTCACTATTGTTACAATAGTTATTAATTAAATACCTTATTTCTAATTTTACAAAGAAAACATTCCAATTTACGCTATGTTAAGTTATCTACCCAGGATGCTGCGAGAGGCCATTGAAATTAAAAAACATCCTAATTTCAACAGGGAAGATGGTTTCTCCGTACCACCAGTTTGGGATCCAGTATTTCCTCTAATGAAAAATCCCAAACAGACATAAGACTGCAGTACTAATTAATATGTTTCAGTTTATTCTAATTTCTATTAATAATAAATTGAACTTAATAAAAATTCATTCAATAAAATAATTTGTAAAACTTAATATAGCGTAAATTGGAATGTTTTCTTTGTAAAATTAAAAATAAGGTATTTAATTAATAACTATTGTAACTATAGTGAAAAAATAGGGTGGTTTGCATCAATATTAGACATAACATTTTATTACGATGAAACTGAAGCTTTGCTTCATCCGATTGCATTGACTCAAGGACCTATTTATTTATTTATTTTTGGAACTTTGAATAGAGTAGGATCTCTATATGTATATGTATATATATATATATATATCCGTAACTACGCACACACACACACACATCCACAAACACACACATAATACAACACGCACTCATAGTCAAATATCTTTTACGTGCAAAAAAGTTTTTAAATTTAATTTTAATTTAAGTTTGATCTTTTAGGTGTATATAGTTCAATAATGTCAAATGTATTTTTTCACTATTTAAATGTTTTTCCTTTATAAACAAATAATCTTAGTAATGCCTTAAGATTGTCATGTGTCATTTCCAAGGGTGAGAGCCTGGTGACTTGTAGTACAGGCGTTAAGCCTTTAACAAGCACCAGCTCCCAAAAATAAGTTTTTGCATGTATCTTAAATTACTAAGAACTATATGTACGTATTTTTGTGGAGGAATAAACGTTATTATTATTATTATTATTATTATTGTAGATGTTTTTCCCTCTCAGCCTGTTGACTGGTTTTAACAGCATCTTATTATTATTATTATTATTAACTGGTTGAAGACTGTACCATCTCAGTCAACCGTGACCATGGGACCTGTAAAGGGCCCGAAACGTCGGTTTGTTTGAAAAAACAAATATACGCGATTTAAATCCGGAAAAATAGTTTCATTTCCTATGTGTAACAATCGCGAAAACCTAAGAACTCAATAAGTACATAATCTTTGACACCCGTCAAAAATCAAGCTTTAAAAATACGCTATAGAAAATAACATAACTACTTTGCTGCGGAGACATTCTCAGATCTCGATAGGTACCAGTTTTTATTACTAAAGCGTGAAACACAGACGGATCGGGTAAGGACCGGGGCGCGGCGGGTCTAATTCCATGCATTTATATCGCGCGGGCGCGCGCGTTCGTGTCGTCCATGTAAATACAAAGATTACTCCTGACCCGACCCGCACCCGCTCTTTGTGTTTCACGCTTAACACCAATGCACAGAAACGAGCCTACTTGTCATAATTTACAATCACAAATGAGGTCTTCTATTCAAACTAACCTGACTCCTGTTATTCGGCTGGTCCTTGAGCACAATATTGATACCCAAATCGCAGGGCCACTCAAGCAACGCGTCGTACATGCTGTTCACCAGCCGTACCGTGCAGGTTATGTGTCGTCCCTTCCATTTGCCGATGCCGTTCAGCTGGACTTCAGCCTGAAATCAATTGGAAACAACGAGTGATCACCGTAATACCTAGAGAATGCAGGAATAAAATAATTCTGATTTTGACGACTTCCGGTGGTTCAGCAGTTAACACTGAGCGCTAGATCAGCGCCTCGATGAGGGTTTTGTGTTCAATTGTTGTAATTCGAACTGTTTCAGATATGTTTGTGTGAATATATGTATAACGTCGTACAGTCGATGCCCTAAGATGCCCGTGAAGTTGAACCCTCATGGAGAGCTCTCGCGTTCGATTCCTAATAGAAACTTCTATAAATTATTTCTGATCTCGGTGTTTTGTATACCCCGAAGTTAATTGTAATGCTCTGGTACTACGAAATTCCCTGCTTTGAGACCAAATCATTGCTGTCTTTAGCTCCATTATCCACCAAACTGAAGAAGAGTGATGGGGATTACGTTATTTTAATATCACCGACAAAACACAATACAACAATGGAGCTCACAATGCAAACCACGAAACTCATATTGCTTAAGTAATAATTAAATACAACACAAACGAACATCACTGATCTTCTGTGTTTTGTATAATGAACCTAGTATTATAGTGAACAACTGAGAATTGAAATTACTATTTTTACTTTCAATCCTCGTCCATAAATAAACGTGGAAGTAATGGGAATAAATATGGCATTTTAAAGGTTAGAATTGGCCCACATGGAACTAATCGTGTGATTTGTGGCAAACCAAATTTAACCCTACGTATAGCGGCGTAATATCTAAGAAGTGGCGATTATGAAAACTGCCTTTAAAAAAACCTGTGTTTAGTGGTGGATGCTGCAAGTATTAGGAGTAAGTGATAGATGAATTCAACATAAAATTAACGGTCTCTTTAAAGCTGTAACGTGATAGTGTAGATTCAGACCGAATAGGCTCAAGAGACGCTTTTCAATCTTAACTTCGTCTAACCTTTAAAGTGTATCCATATTTGCTGGTCCTGAACAGTGGACTGCTCAGCACAGTGTCATTTTCTTTAGATTCTTTCATGCGAGCCGTGAAGTTCTCTATTCTCCATATGAAATGACCTGCAATGGTTAATGCACAAGACATTGGTAAAACAGCTCTGGATCTGAATTGAACTCGAGTACGTCCACTGCTGGGAACAGGTTTTATCTAAGAGGTGTGTACCTGTGTTTTTTTGATAAACCTAACAAACACACGTCAACAAAATTAGTAGTGGTTTTTTTATTGTTATTATATCAAGTGACGGGACGAACAAGTCGTGCGCCTGATGGTGATAAGATACACGCCTGTCCATAACAGTTGCAGTGCCACTCAGAGCTTTAAATTGCAAAGGTCTGAGGGGCATTACCGCTGCGCCCGTCATTCTCAGACATAAGTTGACAAGTCCCATGTGCCTGTAATTTCACCAGCACCCTTGCCGTTCAAAACCGGAACACAGTAATTTTGACATTACTGCTTGGCGGCAGAAATAGGTAAGATGGCAGTACTACCCTGGAGGAACTCTTTCACAAGAAGCTCTACTGCTACTAAAAGGAGTTAGTGTTTTTATAAATAATTGTAACTTTTTTTATTAAAAAAAACCGACCTCAAAAGTCCGTAGAATTATATCTATTTGCCAAGTTTTATTGAAATCGGTTACCGGAAAGAGCGCGAAACCGGATTCATTCCATTTGCCACCCTCAGAGATGGAATATTCTCTTTAAATTTAAATGGAACCAGTACTAAAATACCCTCTTTCTACAAAAAATAATCATCGAAACCGGTTCACATATACGGAGTTATCGCGTAACATACATACATTAAAAAAAAGAGAACCTTCTCCTTTCTTTGAAGTCGGTTAACAAAACAACTTTAAAATTCTGAATTAAAATTAACACTGATGATAAATAGATATTCGGCTACATTCGGAAATCCGAAGATTACCGAGAGGTACTAAGAAACTTTGAAATATTTTGTGTGATGCTGCCCTAAATAAAAATCTATTTTAATGACAGACTTTGTCCTTAGAATAGGTTCATTTAGATTTGTTGATCTTGTAGATATAATATAAAACTTACCAGTGTCACTCCCGGTTTCATGATTTTCAAAGTTGACCCTGGATTGGAAGTCTATCAACTCAGTCCTCATCTTCAAGTAGCTCTTTGTCAAAGCTCTAAGGTCTCTTGAAATGTTTTCCACTCTCGCCTTTTGCTCTTCGGACTCTGCTCGAGCGTCTGCTGTTGCTACTTCTAAAACTGCTAAACGGTCTATTGTCTGGAATTTAAAAAACGAACGGAAAATATACTACTCTATGAAAAGCAATTTCCCGAAATGTAGGTACGTCGAAATTTCCTGAAGAAAATGGTTTCATCATATAGTTATATTAAAAGTTTAGGAAAGTATGCATGGCAGTGCACTTGGTATATTATTAAAAGTAATAGGGGAAGATTGTTAATCAAATTTAAAAGCGAGAAGTCCTCAAAAAGACTAGGATCCAAAGTGAAAAGAATAAAAGAAGTTGAATGTGAGGCTAGAAAATTGTGTCAGGATAGAGTAAGGTGGGGCACCCCTCCTGTGGGACAAGGGCGTGAATTATTATTACCAATCAAATTAAAAGACTTCTTCGTAATCTTTTTTCATTTATTTTCCAATACAAAATTATTGTCACATTGTCCATTACTTCACATTGTTTTCTCGTTTGGTCCAGTGGAGACCGAGTCTGGAAGCTCCCGGGGTAAATTGTTCCGACAGCAATAACAAGTTTAGTTGTGCATTACACACATAATACAATTGTAAAAAAGGTTATTTTATTTAAGAAAACCTTTGTTACCCTAACAACATGTTGTTATAATCTGAGCGGAACAATTTGCCTCAAATGCGGAACAACTTGCCCCAAAGCGGGATTGAATGTTCCCTTTCGAAATTTATGAAATATTTGCTTCTATAAACAAAAACTTTTGAGATATTAATCGAAGTAACTTTAATACTCCGGAACTCACTCGGTTTTAGGGCCCACTGAAAATCAGCGTCACAGCCTTTTCTCGGTGGTGACAATAGCTGAGTGGGATCCTGTTACATACGCCACAGCCACGCACATGACACTTAATCTAATTGTGTTAAATATTTCATGTTTGCTTTGTTGTTGTGTATGATTTTATTTTTATTCCTTTTTTTCCAGTTATTTTTATTTTAATTTTTTGTTTTAATGTAGCTTCATCTTTTTTTTATCTTCATTTTATTACTGTGTATATTTTTGTTGTGGCGTAGTAATAAAAGATTTCTATTCTATTCTAATATTAGAAAAAACGGGAAGTGTTTGCACAATATTTCCACATTATTGGAAATCAAACCCTTCGTTTTCATTATTAAACTTCATGTTATTAGAAAATCGGAACGTTCAGCCCCTCTCTACCCTACTTATTTGTTTCGGCCAGATGTCGGACGGAGAAAGGGAGACCCCTTTTTGGAAGTTTTTGGAAGTTGAACCTGTTTGAAAATTTATTACTATACGATATCTACTATATTGTTTCGACATAGATCAAACCATATAATATGCTTCTGAACACTTGCAAACTTACTGGTCTTTCCGGCGTAGCGTTCTGCAGCTGCACCCTTAAAGAGGCTAACTGCGACAGCTGTTCAGACGACCTCTTGGCTTCAAACAGCTCCTGCTCCAGCGCGGCTCGGCTCTCCGCGTTGACAAGGCGCTCCTCCTCCACTGACTCCTTTATGTACGATATAACTTCCTCTGAAATGAAATTCATGCTTGCTGTTGCCATACAACTTTTCTTTAATTCATTTATCTGTGAAAAACGGATTGTATATAGAAATGTAGAAGCTGACCGTAGTGTATGGACATATTGAAAGCATACTGTGTATTTGCTAATACGGAAATAATAATAATCAGAATAATGTTATGTAAAATGTTTTTTCTATAACTTAAACTATAAATATACTATAACGACGCGCAAATTAATTAAATTAAAAAGAAAGATTAAAATTATCATTTCCGGAGTTTAAAAACTACAAAGATATTTTGAAATTGAAGACTACGTATAAAAATGTATGAAAAGACGACATGGCTCTAGATTCCACACAAATTTGATTCAAAGTATATTCCACAGCATTTAAGTTAATTTGAAATGAGCAGTCCCTAAAGTTTCTTGCTCGTTCTTCTCAGGGAAGTCAGCGGAGTGAACGAGCAGTAGCCTAAATGTTACGTTTTCAATTGTAAATTGATTTTACCTATGATTCTTTGACTTTGATCTGCCGAAGCGCTTTCAGTCTTTCTTTAATTTCACAATTCTTGTCAAAAAACGCATTTGCCACGCGAAAAATTTTTGTAGTTGAATATTTTTCTCAAAGACAAGAAAGATTTTTTATTTCAATTATTTCAATAGGCGTAAAAGTTTTCGTGCTTCTGGACTGGCTAAGGCATCTAATTGGCCATGGGTACTAACTAAAAGATTGTAACTTTTTTTCAATAGTTTAATATTCTGAATCTTTTCGGGAGAAATCATTATGTCTTTAATGTCGTGCAATTTTTTTTCTCGTTAATTATCTCAGATTAGAGATTGAAATTCAAAATTTTAACTCCGACACCACCAGTACAATTCTACTTTTTATTATTTTATATTATTTCACGAAATAGCTTTAGATATCTGATGAGGAGAGTTAATTCGCCTAAGCAGAGAGTGTGACCGCGTAGAGGACGTACCTACATCGTGTAATGGCGGAGCCAGTTCTTTATGCGGGTCCCTATTTTGGACCGCGATAATGCAATATCGGTGTTTAACTGCCTCCGTGGCCGAACGGTTACCATGCCGGACGACCACGCAGAGGTTCCAGGTTCGATTCCCGGGCCGGGGGAAATATTTGTATTGGTATTTATTTCTCTCGTGAGTTTGGGTGTAATTTGTGGTTATCTATGTGTGTGTCCATGGCATCCGCGACACAGGGTTTCCATAGTGCGGGGTTATGTTGAGTATGTGCGTTACAACAATATCTTTTCCTCGTCCACATCGAACGAGGCTAAAGCGCTGTATAAATTTGTATCTGAATGTATTAGTATTGATAGATAGCAATGTAACGCACGACCTCCGTGATAAAGTGTCTCGCACACCGGTTTTCATGGTTTTGCCATCTCTGAGGTCCCGGGTTCGATACCCGGCCGGCCAAATGTAAATAACTAACTTTCTTTTTTTTATAATATCAAGTGAAGTGTGGTATCAGAAATAGGTAAGGTGGTAGTATTTCCCTGTACGAGCTCTTTCATAAGGAACTACTAAAACTGGATGTTTGTGATAAAAGTTTTTTGTATACTTGTATTTACGTAGACGTCTGCTTTACCCAGTTTGTGAACAGTCCGGATCCTCGCGTCGTGCTGCGTGAGCGCCTGTTCCAACAATTCCCTCTCGTGTTGTTCGTGCACCAGGCTGCTTACTGTGCTTTCTAGTCGCATCGCTGTTGTCAGCTGCTGACTTTGGAGCTCCTGGAATTCCAATAATGGTTTTCACCTTAGAATAATAACGCATAGAAACCTAGTCCGCACACGCTAAGTGAGGCAAATTGAAGCGCTCCCAAAGGGCCTACACGAGCGGGCGGGCATTCAGTGCTCAAGGTCAACTTGCACCGCGAACAGCTCCAGAATTTTAGGTAACAATGACGAAATGTGCGGTAAATGAGTGTAAAAATACGTCAGACAAACATAAAATAGATACTAACATCACATTCCACAAGGAAGTAACGCGTTTCAACTTGTATTTTTATATAAATATTCACTAAAACCGAAAATTAACCTACTACTAAAACTAGCCTACATGAATTTGATTTTTGCCTCAATTGTGACAGTTCGTTTGATATGAAACTATCATTCTATGCGTTATTATTCTAAGGTTTTCACCACCACTTGGCAACTGATTAGGAGGTATACTTAGAGGCCCATTTATAAGTACATGTCACGCCCTTTTCCAATAACCACGATCCTGATACACGTTTTTCGCCTTATCAACACAAATCAATGATTTCATACATAGTCGTCGCCGGTACGTGTCAAACGGTTTACGTATTTACTATTAAAAAGTCTTAGAAAAAATATACGACACGTCTAAGAACGTTGTCTAAAGAATGTGCTAATTTGTTAATGATTAAATTAATAAATCCTAAAAACAGACTAAAATAAAAGTTTGAAACGCATTTGGAAGAATAAAATAACTTCGTACATAATTTTTATATGGAGATGTACCTCTTTATGTTAGAACCTGCAAAATTTTAGTTTTCAACTTGTGCCCCATTTTTTTTTTATTTAAAAATTTAATAATAACGCTTTTTTGCGCAAAGAAAAGATACATAAAACACAAGTTATAAAGGACATGTACAAAGGTGAGCTATATATAAAGGTGAGTATCTCTAGAAGAGATCTCTTCTAGCCAACCCTAGCCTAGGTGAAAAGTGAAGTCTGCGTGACTAATTATTGTACAATAAAATTAAAATTTAAATGTCAGTAAAAAAAAAATATATACATAAATATAAATAATATATATATACATATAAAGGATGATAATATATACATATGACAGACATACACACCTACATGAACTTTATATACATAAATACAAACATAAGCAGAATATATATTTATAATCTAAACAAATTACTAATTTATAATATATGTTACCTATTAGCTATCTAACGCGTTCGATAGGTAGTGTTCTTTTAATTTATCGTTATGTATATACAAACTATAACTATTTCATAATTGTATTCCCATTATCGCGATACTGGTATAAAACTATCAATATGTAAGTACTTTTTTTAATTAATAATAACACACAAACTCATAACGAGCACTAGGAAAACCCTGTATTACGGATGCCACAGTCACATAGACAACCACAAATTACACCCAAACTGGCGACAGAAATAAATGTAGACCTTAGAAATACTTCTCCCCACCTGGGAATCGAACCAGGAACCGTAACCGATCGGCCACTGGAGGCAGTTAAAGGATTTACATCATCGTCTTTGCAAAAATTGTTTATATTTACTATCTCTTATTACCTACAACAATGTGTTGTAAATTACAGACTTTAATCTTAGAATAATAACGCATAGAATGATAGTTTCATATCAAACGAACTGTCACAAGTGAGGCAAAAATCAAATTCATGTAGGCTAGTTTTAGTAGTAGGTTGATTTTCGGTTTTAGTGAATATTTATATAAAAATACAAGTTGAAACGCGTTACTTCCTTATGAAATGTGACGTTAGTATCTATTTTATGTTTGTCTGACGTATTTTTACACTCATTTACCGCACATTTCGTCATTTTTAGCTAAAATTCTTGATCTGTTCGCGGTGCAAGTTCACCTTGAGCACTGAAGGCTCGCCCGCTCGTGTAGGCCCATTGGGAGCGCTTCAATTTGCCTCACTTAGCGTGTGCGGACTAGGTTTCTATGCGTTATTATTCTAAGACTTTAATATTTTTTTCCATAATATCGACAAAAATAAAGCGTATTTTCAATTTTACCTTGTAAGACCCATTTTATAGAATACATAATTATATATTTTTGAATAATGTAATTCTAGAATGAGTAGTTTTTGTTAACTAATATTAACAATTTGAAGTTTATTTCTGATCAAGATTAAGTTTATTTATTTATCCAGTAATATATAGTATTATTAAAAAAGCTACTAACTTGACAAAGGTTATTCCATTGTAGATTATTGTGATGAATACCTTCATTTTTCAAATTATAATTTGCCTCCTGTAGGTACAACTAAACCAATTATGTGACAACCCTACGCTACGAGAGACGCGTCAGGCAAATGATGCACCTAACAAGCGGGAGTTACATTACCTACTTGGTAATTACAGTATCCTAAAGTGTACTCTTGACGTTAGGACGTCCGCAATTTGGTCGTAGTAAGTAAAATGTAGTGTTAGGTTGCAATCATGATCTGGTCGTATTTTGCATACTACATTGTATATTGTATCATACTCGAGCAAATGGTTATTGAAATATATCACTTTTGCAAACTGTTACATAGAATTCGTTATTTAAAAAAAAAATCAACTAAATATTTCTATGTCTACTTCTATTAAATGTTATGGCCCCATCGAAATAATCGATGATTTCGCCAATGTCAAGAAAAAATGAATATGTACGGTAGGATTGTAAAAATAATATAAAAATTATGGCGGACGACGCAATTAGCAAAGCCGGTACCTCTCACACTCCTTATTGCCATGGACTGTGTCTAACCATAGACTTTGCTTATAATCTACCGTCTGTTATCATCTTTTGGTATTACAGTTGGCCATAGCCAATACCGCCAAAGCTATATCTCGGTGATGTTTGGCGGGAAGGTATTTATAGGCTAGGCTCTCGGGTTTCTTTTAGAGAAAAGTTTAAGGAGACTGGTATCATGACTGTGGCATCACAGTACATTTACTCAAATATTTTATATGCCCGTAAAAATTTACATAATTTCAATAAGAAAGAAGATATCCATAATATTAACCTTAGAGCTAAGTCCAAACTCATGGTACCACGATTTCGTTTAACCAAGGTAAACAACTCTTTTATGGGGAACTGTATACGTTTTTACAACAAGATTCCGGAGTATATATTAAGTTTATCATTTCCTAAGTTTAATAACTACATTAAAAATATTTTGATCGAAAAATCGTATTTCAAAATTGAAGACTACGTGTTAGATAAAGATGTATGGAAAGACGACACGGCTCCAGAATCCACACAAATTTGATTCAAAGTGTACTCCATAGCATTTAAGTTTATTTGAAAAGAGCAATCCCTAGAGTTTCTTGCTCGTTCTTCTCAGGGAGGTCAGCGTAGTGAACGAGCAGTAGCTTAAATGTGACGACTTCAAGTGTAAATTTATTTTACCTATGGAATAAATAATCTTTGACTTTGACTTTGTCTTTGACTATATAAATATGCGCGGAATTGATAGTATCGGTTTTATCGGTTTGTATTCTGACTGGAGAAATAAACCATCACAAGCGAATTACGTTTTATTTACTAGTAATATACATAATTTTACAGTAAACACAAAACAACGATATCTTATCGATACACAAAGAATACACATTGATCATCGTCACGGTGCCCTTGCCGCTTTCTCTAGTACCTATCGCTTGTATGATACGACCCTTTATCCGATGGTTCTAAGCTTCTACGGCGAGATAAATAGATAACCTAAATTTATATTACAAAACAACCAAAACACATCTATATAAATGGAAGTCTGAACAGATACTTTAATATTTAGAAAGACGTGTCGTAATCAAAAAGGACGCAAGATCAACTTCGCCTGTGGAATTCAGTCATGATTTTTAAAATAGAAGAAATAGAAAGAGTTTGTCCAGGGAAGTACCTACTGGTAGCGTACCTATTTCTGCCGCCAACCAGTAATGTGCGCATTACCTACTGCGTTCCGATTTTGAAGGGTAAGAATGCTGGCAAAAGCGCAGGCACATGGGTCTTGTCAGCTTATGTTTCAGGGGTGGGCACAGTGGCAATCCCACACAGATCTTTGCGATTTAAACATCTGAAAAAAAACTCGATTTATAATTTAAAACAACAATCATTACCTGTAATGCTAACTGCACGTTAGCCAAGTCATGTTTGAACTGCGCTGCCCAGTTGGCAGATCTCTCTGCCTCGTCATCCACAGAAGCCCTTAAAGACATGAGGGTCGAGAGGAAGTGCTGGCACTGTTCTTCTACGAGAACCAGCTTGGAGCGGAGGGTTTCCAGCTCTGTGTCTTGGACGTCCCGGTGGCGGAATCCTTCTGTTAGGACTGAACTGGAAATATCCACCAAGCATGAATACGTATAACAGTGACGTGACCGAAGGTATATACAGAAGGACAGTTGCATAGAGTGCCATGGAGCGTGTCATGCTCTCCGAAAACCAATCTAAGGTCCAAAACAGGATATCAGATAACGGAGCTGAGCAAGATATCAACACAGATAAAGAAAAGCGTCAACAAAATGGTGGCCAAGAAGAGATTTAAAAAATATGAGCTATAAACATATCATTCACTATGGTTATTGTTGTTATTAATGTGACAGGTAGATAAAACAGAAGCCACGATTACTACAGGGCTGTTTTCTTTGTCACCCTGTTCGCGTGCTTCGATACTAACAATTATCATAAATTATTATCACATTGACTTCATACCAACACGTATTTCTGTCAAATGGGGAAAATTATTTTATATAATGTATACAACTAACTTAAAATTGTTAAAGCAGCATCTAGCGGTGTAACAGAAATAATGTCTCAAAGATATACATATTCGTAGGCATTGTTGTGGACTACGACAGTCGTATCTGGTCTAACCAAGCTTTTGTGATGGCTTGAAAGACATCTGAAATATCAGTGTGCCAGATAATTATGTACTATTTTGTTTTATCTTATTCACATATAAATTTTACCATCCTAGGAGCAGAGACACGGGGTGAATACTACCTGCCTAATACTGAAGTATAAAGAATCTTGATTGACAAGTTTGCATTAAGGAACATCATCAGGGAGTCCCTGTTATACTAACTTCATGGAAGCGACCTCTTTCTCCAGATATTTGACGCAGTCGTCGAGGGGCGGAGGTTCAGGCTTCCAGGTGTGCTTCTTGACGGTAATGATATCTGCTGGAGCAGGGTCTGACAGCCTCGCATAGGTCGATGATTTTGATGTGCGCTGGTAATTACAATTCCATTCTAATATAGTTACTTCTGTCACAATCTGTCAGTCACTCACAAACAGTGGAACAAGATATAGAGATCTCTTTGATAGGGCTTTTTGGACTTTGCACCGTCACCTGTTGACTAGTTAATCAAAACAAATATATGATCATCAGCAAATCACATATTTTAGGGCTATACTTTACTTTAAAAGATGACGCATCGCAATCATATCTCATTGTTAAAACATACTCGATTGTAATAAACCAAAAGTTAGCATTTCGGATAAATGTAATGTGCGGAAAATAGGCATTTTTCCTTTATGAATATAATTCGTAATCGTGAACGCATGAACCACCACACACGGGTAAGTCCAACGGTCCACGGATGGCAAAAATTTCGGGACATATTTTTCTCCGTATACCTTCTGCATCTGGGGGCAATCCTTGACGTGTGTCTCCCTGTGTTTTCGCTGAATCCAGGCACCGCAGCGCAGTGGGCATTGCTCCAAAATACTGCCGCATTTCTTCAGGTGGTTCTGAAAAGGTAACGTGACTCTCTGGTAAGTAGATAATTAATCATAATAACTAAAAACTATTTAATAGTTTCTTAGACAAGATCTTCCAGTATAGTTTCATTTCACTTGACGATGCGGATATTTATTGTTTTATGTATCAATTTTGAGTTGCAGTGACGATACATTAGTGAACGCGTCATAGTCGTAACTCGTCGTATAACTTTAAAAGGTTCTAAAGAGGGCGTTATGACAAAAATAGAGATTCGTATGTTGTTGTGGTTTGTTTGTTTGTTTGTTGTAGACGAAAGTATTTTTAAGGACATTTTGCAGTTGGCCACTGAGCTGAAGATCAGATTAAGGTTAACGACCGCCTTGGACGCTACTGGGCACTTTCACCAGAAAGATGTCCTATATAGGGGAGAATCTGCGCGAGTATATACAAATTGATTCTTGTAAATTTGTCCAAATTAGGAGTAGGCACCATTATAAGGGAAATACTTAAAATCGCGATTCACTGTTTGCACAAAATGGTTCAAAACCATGAATGCTGATAGTTGGTTATGGCAACAATAAATATTATGTTTGTTACAATTCTACTTCTGCACTGTCAGCAATCCGTCGCCCTTTATATGCGCCCAGAGCGGCGCGATGCCCAGAGGGCATTGGGTTAAAAACCCGGGTAAACCCAAAGATAAACATTATGCAAGTAAAATAATACAGAATTTAATATAATTCCATTTTTATTAGAAATTTCGATGTAAAAAATGTTTTTAGACGAAAAAGAGGCAACTCAACACAGTGCCCACATTGTAGGCATGTGGAGTCTCACTTGCTACTTGGGACCCATATTACGATTGGATTTTTATGAAAATTGATTCAAGTGTACGATAACCATTCACTGCTGGACATAAGCCTAAGTTTTTATATCGATTAATTTCAACGCGATTTTGTAATATTATCACTACATTTGAACAAAACTCGATTTACAAATATTTAGTTGAAAATAGTTTTTGCCTCGATTTCGGGCATTAATGGGTTCTTAAACCCGGCGGCGTTAACAAAACGCCGAGTTGAAACTCGGGTGCTTGCCTGTCTCTATATGGGGTCAAATATTTATTTTGACATAAACCATATGGGTAATTGTCATTTTGAGGCTTTTGTGATGTTAAAATAAAAAGTTTTTAATTTGTGTAAGTTTTATTACAATTCTAAATGATGCTTTGGTAATTATCTTAAAACAATAAACAAATGAGATCAATCTTATTTTTTTGGGTAATTAGGAACAAAAATATTTTTTTGAGGGTCACCGAAAATACTATCTTGACCACCAAAAAGAACAATATTTAAAATTTTACCAATAGGAACAACTTTTGATACAATATTAATTATAAAGTAGCTTCATTATAAACTTATCTTGTAAATCAACTAGTTTAGTTTAAAAAAATATTATTTTTTAATATAAAGAAAAGCTTTTATTTTAAAGACCACCAAAAAGATATTTTCGGTGGTCATTTTCGAAAAAAATTAAAAGATTTTCAGATCGTCATCGTCAAAGTCAAAAACTTGAGCTAATGTTGCCAGAGGAATATTGTCCTCAGAAGAATCAGAATAGATATCTTCGATTCTCCACTTTTTTTTATGTTGACCATAGGATGGCGCGTCTAATAAATTTTCAACGTCCCGTGTAAGATCTTCATAGTGTTCAGATTTTATTTGAATTTGTCCAATTTCATAATGAGTGCACACAGCGTTTGCTGAACAAGTTATACAACTCAATTTTCTGGCGTGTAGGATTTTAGGGTTACTTCGGTGCCAAGTAATTTGATGGATTTTTAAAGTGCCTTTAAATGGTTGAATTTCAGCATTCTTGATTTTATCTTCTATTTCAGACAAATGGGTGTCGTCTATAGGAATAACAGTAGTAGCCTGTACATTTTCTTGTAAACAGCTGACTAAACTTTGAATATCTGATATATCACGACCTAACCCGACTTGACGATCTGCTGCTCGTTTAAGACAGCCCCCTACTCCATCGGGAGCACCTTTGCCATGACCACTCTCACTGAAGTGCCAATAAATCTCTTCAGCATCTAACTCCACACTAAGGTATTCAACTAATAAAAAAAACATGCTCTTGTTTCTGTACTGACTTGAAGGCCCATCACTCAGAATATGAAAAGTCTTAATATCGGGGACAAGATTTGCTTTGATATTGTCGATTACAGGTTTTAGATGTGCACAGACCAAGACTGGATCATGGCGAAGATTTTCCGATATGGTACAATAGGATTTGTGATTAGGAGTTGTGCAGTCGTCATTATTTTTATAGTAAAAAACGCTTGTGTGGAGGCTGAGTTGTTGTTTTGATCCCCCAAAATGTGCAGATTGTACTTCGCGACCATATTTGCATAAGTAATTTTCCGAAAAATCACAATGAAGAAATCCACATTGCTGATGTATCATATCTTTTTTTATTTTACGCACAATACTTGATTGGTGTAATATATTTCCTATGTGTTGCATGAAATGTGGCATTTTTGCCTGAAGAATATCAATTAAGGATCGTTTGTTGGTCATAACTTTTTCTTTAATAGTTTTCTGGCATATCTTTTCTTGACCCTTAACAATAGTAGGAATTTTTTTAGTAACCCAGTGCTGATAAAATATTGAATCATCGCCAATGTATTGACTAAACTCAATCACTTTATCGACACACTTAGAACATTTTCTTTCCAGGCAAATTTCTTTCAAGTTACCATCGCGGTTGCAACAAAGAGACTTAGCAACCTCTAAAGCAGAGTTTTCTTTTATAATTCTTGCAGTTTTAAGAGCTTGCACGACAAAATTCACATTTTCGTGCATAGAGCATAAGCATGTATCTCTTGCTGATGATTTTGGACTTATGATCCAAAATGGACGGTACCTACAGAAAGTTTTGTAAGATATGTGACTTCCGGTTTCTTTTTGAAATTTAACATGTAAATTTGTCAGTGTATCATTTAAGAGCCGAATTTGTTTCTTTTGTTTTTTTCTAGTGATTGTCTCTTTTTTACCTGAAGTAAGTCGGCTGTATTGATCATCGCTCAAAAAATTGTGTATAGTTTTTTTAATTCTTTCAACACGAATGAAACCTTTTTTAGATAATATATTTTTATTTTCTTTGTCCTGCTGGGAGGACTCATTCGTTTCATTCTTATTTTTCTTGTCTGATTTGTTGGCTCTGTGGTCTCTCATTCTGTACTTGGCTAATTTGCTCTCAAGGACTTGTAATCTTTGCCTTAAGTAAATATTTTCAGATTTGAGAATTCGTTTGTTCCTTGCTGCAATAGATTTGCCAGAAATCACTCTTGATGACGACGTTTGAGGATGCAGCGAAGAAGCTGTTGGCGTAAGACTACCGGAAGGTATAGGAGAAGATGGTGGAGTACCTTCTTGAATAATTTTTTCAGTACGGCGCTGTATTTTCATTACCTCTCGTCGTTTCCTCGCATCTTCCCTCCATTTCTTTCTAAGATTTCTTTGATCTCGAGCATTTAAATCTTTTATTGTTTTTATCAATCCTTGATCTTTTTTCTTATAATAATATTCTCTGTCTTTTTTTCGCTTTTGTTCCAATGCAACTGGATTTTGTTTCAGTTTCTCTCTTAGTTTCCTCATAGTTAACTTTTTATTTTCGCGTCTTCGATTTTTCTTTTCTTCGTCTGTAAGTTTTTTTCGCGTTTTCGCCATCTTTGAGTAATCTGAAAAAGCAATAAAGCGCTGCCTTAACCGAAGTTTAGGGTACGTACAGATTTGGCGAATGCGCTGCATGTGCGCTGCGCGCGTGCTGCACGCGCGCCGCAACTAGTTTCCTACATGGCTCGCATAATGCGCGCGTTCTGCGAGGCTTGCGGGTGATGTGATTACAGAGGCGCACTTAATTGCACGTGTGCAGCGCTCGTGCAACGCGCGCGCAGCGCACATGCAACGTATTCGCCAAATCTGTACGCACCCTAATGCTTCACGTGTCAAAGCGTGTTCCATAAAATTCAAACAATATAGCTGCATCTTTTCGGTGACCACTTGTCTTTTTGGTGGTCACTAGTGACCACCAAAAAGGTGACCACCGAACGGACATTTTCGTATAAAAACAGATTCCAGTGCAATATTTTGAGGTTAGAAACAAAATTGTTAGCCATTGGCTATTATATCCTTCCTGCCTGATGCAATAACTGATTGTTTTCGTTAATTAATTAGTACTTACCAATTTTACGGCGTAACCGAAAAGATCAGATGAGGTTTGACGAAAAAGCACTTATTGGTAAACAATATACTGCCGTTGCTTTGATTCTCAATTAAAGACTAAAGATGGCCGGTACAATGCGTTCAAAACCTATACAAACACGTTGTTTTTTTGACTGCGTTCAAAATCCGGAATGGTTACTGGATATTTGACCAAATTTTTAGACCACCGAAAAGACTCCGTGACTATGTAACATGTGACAATCATTAATATTTTCTCCCAAACTGTTACTGTCGTTCATATTGTATATAAATTACAGTCTCAAGGATATGTAGAAGGAATCTCAACTACATGTTACTGAATTTATGCAGCATTTTATGGATTTTGTAAGCATCTATTCGTCTTAGGCGATTCTGAACAGACCACCGAAATGAATTCTATTGACTAAAAAAATTCGTAATAATTCAAGTAATTACTTTTTTTTTAAATAACCTGTTTTATTATTTTAATACTGAACATAATTGATCATAGCTCTTGATTCTATAATACAATTATCATTGTTTTAAGGTTACTCTTCACTGAACGGATTTTGTAAGCTTTTTGACAATTACCCATATAGGTTATCAAAATAATTGTAACTTGTTTATAAAAAAAGCCAACCTCAAAATTTCGTGGAATTACATCTAAGTATTTGCCAAGTCTTATTAAAATCGGTCACCGGAAACCGGATTCGTCACTAATTTGCGGAATATCGTCTTCAAATTTAAACGGGATCAAATGAATAAATTATCGCGTAACATACATACAAAAAACAGTCCATTTAAGACCTCCACCTTTTTTTAAAGTCGGTTAATAACAAATCATTTTTTTCTATCGTCTCTTTTTTGTAACATTCCTAAAATTTTACTTATTCAGCATTCGCGGAATTCTGACACGCCATGTGAGATAACGAATTCCAATATTCTAAGTGTAGTGCTGTGTGTTTAGAAATATTTAAATAGTTACCTGTATCACATTTTCAGATCTTTGAATGAACATGCGCATTTTATCGTTATGTATATCTGAGATATCGGCGAATCTCAACTCACTTGTCAAAGAGTTCGTCCAGGGTGGTTGCCACCTTACCTATTCCCGCCACCAAGCAGTAATGTCAACATTGTCACATGGGACTTGTCAACTTATGTCTCAGGGTGACAGGCGCAGTGGCAGTGCCACTCGGAGCTTTAAATCGCAAAGATCAGGGCAACTCTGCCGTCCGCTAACTAAATCACAAAACTTTTTTTGAGATATCATAAAAAACCATAACCCAATTTTAGAATAAGTATTGAAATTATTTAACGATATCTCAGCTATGCATCCTTAGGGTAAGTTCCGATAAGTCAAACACGTTAACTAATTTTAACTGTTTTAAACATTGACTTACAATTATGTGGACGTCGGGTCCGCGCTAAAAAGTGTCCGAACTTATAGGGCGTTAAAATCGTATACAGAGCGTCATTCACGCTCTAGTCTTCGTTTGTTCGACTGACAGCGAAGCAAGCAAAATTAGACAGTACTGCGATGACATTACAATTTAAATTCAACGTTTTAGATTTGTCATATTCCTTGACATGTCACTACGTTTAAATAGGTTGACTTGGGACATTTTTTTCGTTGTTTTTGTAGTAGACCCGTCGTCCATTTATTTGTAAGTCAATGGTTTTAAAAGATAATTTTGTGCTCTATTTTTGGCTGTATAAAACGGATATTTCACCATTTGTCACGGCAGAACTGTTACGGACAGGCGTGTAGATTACCATCAGGCCCACGACTTGTTCGTCCCGGCACTTGATATTTGGATTTGCCAATTATGGGCAATCCAAACTAATACATGTTATATTTATAGTAATGTCCGTAAATAATGAAAAAAACATGCTCAACTAGTTTTCTGATTATTGTCATTTAGCGTAAATTACAAAATGGACAACGTGCCGTCAACACGGATATGTTAATGTTGATCACAGATAAACTCCCTTGAGGGTAGGATAACCATCAACGGTACAGTACCTAATATAAATTATTCAAATTTTTATTGTATTAAAAAAAAGTAAGGTTTGGCAATTATGAATGAAAAATGACATCTGATAAATGTCCACCACGACTACAGTTACAGATGTCGATTATTTCATCAAAGTTTTTTAATCAGTTTTTGACAAAGTGGTGGGTCTATTAACCCCATAAAAAATAATCCAGCGGTATTAAATCACATGATCGAGCTGGCCACTTAACGGCTGAATTTCGTTAAAATTATGCGATCGGGAAATTTGGTTTGCAATAAATTCATTGTTTCGGTGGCTGTGTGACTTGTGGCACCGTCTTGTTGAAACCACATGTTAGTGATATTGAATAACCCTTTATAAGAAAAATAATTGATAATGTTACTTGGACTTTAATGTTAAATAATATCCCATTCAAGGTACCTACGTCAAGTAGCAGTAGAGCTCCTTGTGAAGGAGTTCGTCCAGGAAAATACTGCCACCTTACCTAGTTCTGGCGCCAAGGAGAAATATGAACATTAAAGGCACATATATGGGACTTGTCAACTTAAGTCTCAGGGTGACTTGCGCAGTGGCAGTGCCCCTTAGATCTTTGTGTTTTAAACCACTGAGTGGCACTGGAACTGTTATGGATATGCGTGTCGCTTACATGACTTGTTCGTCCCGTCAGTTGTCTTTATAAAAAAAGTGTAAGCAGGTCTTTCAGGGCATTGGATGAAAGCTCATCTTCATTATATAGTTACGTATATTAATGTGAAATCTTGGCAAAAGTTTTCGTATTATCATTCTAAGTCTTTGTCTTTGGAAACCTAGTATTTAAAAGCCTCCCAACTCTATTTACCTGCAAGCATCCCTTTTCAAATGAGTCATTGCAAAAGTAACATGCACTCTGCGTGACACTCGGACTGCCCTCATCAAGTCCTTTTTTCGTGAGACTCATTTTAACAATGCTGATTCCGTGGCCTTTGCCTTCTCCACTGTCTTTATCACTTCACGTTTACAACTTTTAGTTTTATTTATATTCTAATCTTTAATTTATCTTAATTAATAAATGTTCATGGCGTTTAAGAATAATTAAACCACACAATGCAACATTTTGACGCAAAATTCACGTGTTTTCATTTCAATTTCACAATAGCGAACATAATAAAGTGAATCTACTGTAGTAAACTGTGTTGAGTCATGCGGTTATCTCTTTCTGATATTTGATATGGGGCGGAGCTGATAACACCGTCGATATTATGTGATACGGCAGAACTCATCCACGCTGTCAGATTTTAGCACTGTGATGCCGCGTGTTTGCAATTTTCGAAATGCTTGTTGTTGATTGTTATTTGCTGTGGTATATTAAGTACACATGATTGAACAGATCTCTCTCTCTTTCTGTAGCGTACGTTAAGTCCTGCATACAAGACGTTCTCACGAGCACCGACCTTTAGCATCTTTGCAGCTTTGAAATAAGAACCTGCCTATTTTCTTCCTAGTGTTGGGTACGAATTGTTCCTAAGGAAAAGGTAATAAGAAGTTATACACCACGCCAGCTTAATGTGGGTTGGGGATTTTAAGTTACAGCGCATTATTTTCCATCTTTGTTAAAGTGACTTTTAATTACCTAGTTAATATCTGAACCGTAGGTGATTCAAAAGGGCTTGGTGGTGTAGGTCCTAGATGAGAATCGAACTTGAAGCTCCATCAAGCATTCTACTAAAACTTATACAAAAAAGCTTCAATTCGATTCTAAATTGTTGGACAATAGAAGAAAGTGTTAAGTACATACATATAACGCCTTACTTTTTTACCCGCGCAATTATGATTTAAAACCGTTGCAAATACAAAACAAATTCAGGATAAAATGTTGTCAGATCTTTAGTTTTAATATTAAATGTGCCTAGTGTTAAACGACACGCCTATCAACAGCAATTGCAGCGCCACTCAGAGCTTTAAATCGCAAAGCTCTGAGGAACACTGCGGCTGTCAGCCTGAGATACATGTTGACAAGTCTCGTGTGTCTGCACCATTTCATCAGCACCTTTCAAAACAGAAACATAGTAAAGGTCACATTGCTGCTTAGCGATAGAAATGGGTAAGATGGCAGTACTTCCCTGGACGAACTCTTTCACAAGGAGCTCTACTGCTACTAACTATCCAATGTTAAAATCTATTACATAAACGCTCATTGAACCGAGCGCAAGCACACCCCGTTCATTCTTAAATTGCTATAACGAATCATATTTGATCGATTCTTATTCTTCTGGTTAAAACGATTAACGTGGTGCAATATCGAAACTGGAAAGTGACATAAGGTCCACTGACCCGCACCGGACGCTCAAAGCAACAAACTTCTGTTGTTTTTATTTATATCGCCTCCCTTTACGTACGACCGTTGACATTACATAGGTTTTTTCAGGGCTCCAAATCTGCTAATCTTAAATCATCTCATGTGGTTTCGTACGTTTGGTACTCGGCTAAAAGTTAAAAGTAGGGGCTTCTCAGTGGCTACTCATCGATCTTGTATTCAAAAGCCATTGCAATTTTTTGGTAATCTGGTCGATGGTAGTCGATTGTATATCGTCGGCGTAAGTAGTCTACTAATTAATTGACATTAAAAAATAATGATTTGGAGACTAAATTGCTTTTCAACTAAATAAAAATTAAGATATGCCGTATCCAAGGCTACATTATTACACATATACATACATATACTTCACGCCTTTTTCCCATCGGGGTAGGCAGACAACAGTCTTCCACTTGCTACGGTCCTGACACATTTCTTTCGCCTCACCAACACGCATGCTTTCATACACGCTCGTCGGTTAAGGGTACTCTTGACCTGGCCCTTCTTTAGGATGGCCTCGATTTGGTCATGATAAGTTCTCCTTGGTCGGCCCATACCAACTTGCCCGCTCACACTCGCCTTATAAATCTGTTTCGTCACTCTTCTTTCATTAATTCTCTCTACATGTCCGAACCATCTAAGCATCCCTTTCTCTGTCTTTGTCACTATATCTTCTTCCACGCCGCAACGCTCTCTTATCACACTGTTCCGTAATTTATCCATCCGAGTCACTCCAGCCATACTCCTCAAAGCTCTCATTTCTACTGCATTAATTCTACTTTCATGCTTCTACTGCCAAACCCAACGTTCACTACCATACATAAGTGTAGGAACCAGCACCCCCCCATGCACAGCCAATCGTGCCTTTTTAGACACTTTCTGGCTGCCCATGAAGGTATGCATTTAAGTTAATTTTACGCATTCCATCGCGTACTAAAAGGTTTGGTGGCTCCTTTCTCTGCCGCACGGTTGACAAATGGAACTCCCTTCCGGCACATGTCTTCCCTCCCTCTTATGATATGGGGTCCTTCAAACGAGGCGTGAAGAGGCATATTGTAGGCAGGCAGGGTGGAGGTGGCTAGTGCAGTGAGGGTTTCATCGCTGCACTAGGTTCCTTCGCGTTTGGATACCACTTTCCACTTAACATCAGGTGGAGTGGAGTCATTTGCCTGTCATGTATAAAAAAAAAAAAAAAAAAAATGCAAGGCACCATTCACCTGATTCCCTGCGTTCACTCTTCTTTCAATGTCTCTTTCACTTTTTCCATCACACGTAAACGTAGAACCCAAATACACAAACTCTTTCACTTGATCCACTTTTTCTCCTTCAATCAATATTATATATATAGAATTACCGTTTGCATAAAATATTTGTGTCTTAATAATTCGAAAACTACTTTGTCTATTCTAATGCCGTTAAGCTTAAAGTTGTACATATTTCAATGTTATTGGGTATTTTAAGCGAGAAAAAACAATGGCTATGGTAATTAGGCTGAGAACACCGAATGTGAGAATAGCCGTTGCATTGTTTTAGTGAGGCAAATCGATTGCTGTTAATAATTGAATAAACGAATGTCATCACTGGCACTCCGCCGACATTCTATTAAAACTCACTGCCGTTGCAACTAGATTTTAGCAGAATAACAAATAAATATTATCTACATTACAATATGATGTCAGTGGAGTCTCAATGTGGTGACTAGAATAAAGAAATGTATATTGAGGTGGTTTGGGCATGTAGAATTACCAAACAGATTTATGATGCGAATGTGGATGGAACGGTTTTAAGAGGACGTCTCAGAAGGACTTACATTGACCAGATCAGTGATATCCACGAAAAGACTGGGATCCGAAGTGACAAGAATAAAGGAAGCTGTATGAAAAGGGTAGTTGAGGTATGTGAGGCGCGAGTATTATGCCCTACTCCCACAGGCGGGATAGACAGAGTCGGGGCTCAGAGCAACCTGTTTCTGATGTAGCACTGTGGCCTAACCTTAGTGAAAGAAAAGGGCCCAAACGGACCCTACCTAGGTATGTACATCTAATGATTTAAAAACAGTAAATCACGTGACGTTTGAGTTTTAGGGTGATCTATGAGCATGTCGTCTCGTTCTGAGAATTTTGATGGTAGTGATTAGAGATGACACGAATATTTGGCTACTATTCGGTATTCGGCCTATCCGGCCACTTGCTTTAATTGAATATTAAAAAGTGGCCGATTATTACAAGTATTCGGCCGAATACCGAATATCAAATAATGAAAAACCACATATTATTCAAAACGTATCTTGTGTTTTAATAACAAATTATCGCTTTAGCACTTAAAATCAATCAGTGGCAGGTTGCGATGAATGAAAACATTTTTTTCAGCATTGGTTGGTAACAAACGATTGCGCTTTTCCTCATAAACAATTCCTGCTTTTGAAACTAGCCTCTCGCTATAAACACTCCTGCCAGGAAACGATAGATAAATGGCAATGACAGGCTTGGATACTGCTTTGCGTTTGCTGACCACCGCTTGTAAGAATCTGCGGTCCGATCTAGTCGAACAGTTTTCAATATAAATCAATTTCACGTGCAATAGAACTTTTCTCCACATCCTCATCATTTTGCATATTATCTGTAGCGACTTCTTCAAAACAAGTCTAGAAACTGTCATCTATTGAGTCTTTGTCATTTTTCAACAAAAACACCCCAACCGCGTTGCCTTCGCACGCAGGTCAATGAGACAGGTCGTAACAGGTCGCGCGGAAAATGCACAGATCTTACGCCGAACATACGGCAACAGAATATTCGGCGCTTCGGCCGAGAACGAGGCCGAATATTTGGTATTCGGTATTAGGTCAAATCATTATTCGTGACATCTCTAAGTACAAGTCAAATAATCATTTATTCCATAGGCAAAATTTTTACACTTGAAAACGTCATTTTTTAAGCTACTGCTCGTTCATACAGGGTCCGTCCCAAAAGTATCGAACATTTTTTTTGGGAGTGTTGCCGAACGGCGGGAAGCGCTCCGCTTGGCAACAGAAAGTGGTGGGGGGATCTAGCCGATACAGCGCGATCGGTCACAGTTGGCTCCGAGCACCTGGAGCGACAGGACGTGCGTTCGCGTAGAGCTCTAAACGACACCTCGTCGAAGTTTTTAAAAGTAGCGCGATGACGGATCCGTTAGAACAGAGGTACGCAGTGAAATTTTGTGTTCTACTCGGCAAAAATATTGTGGAAACCAACGAGATGATTAAACAGGCCTTCAAGGACAAAGCCTTGTCCGAATCCTCGGTCAGGAAGTGGCACAAGATGTTCCGTGACGGAAGGGAAGAGGTGACCGACGAAGCCCGCTGGTCCCGCAGCCTCCCTACAGTCCTGACGTCGCCCCGGCAGACTTCTTCTTGTTTCCCAGCATCAAGTCGAAGCTCAAAGGCAAGCATTGGGGCACAATTAAGGACATCCAAGAAGCTACGACGAGGGCGCTGAAGGACCTACCCGTTGACGTCTTCCAGGGGGCCTTCCGGGCATGGAAAACTCGCCTACAAAAGTGCATCGATGCTGAAGGGTGTTATTTTGAAGAGTACTAATGTATGGTACCGATAAGTTCAATAAAAGTATTTTTCCTGAAAAATGTT